TGACGCATGTTAGCAGTTCTGATTTCACACTGTGTGCAGATCGGCCACCCAATCCGATTTGGAAGCAAAAAAAAAAAAAAAAAAAAAAAAAAAAACGTCTGAGAGGAATCCAGCTGAAGATTTACTGGGGTTATGACATGGTGAGGAAAGCTTCAACACCTCTGGTAGGATTGCATTCACCACTTCATACACAGACAGCATCTCTTCAAGTAAAATGGAACGGGTTAACACATAATTAACCCCATAATCTCAAAAGGCAAATTCTAATCCTGATTTTTCTCACGAGAACAAAATAATTATTGGTTAAAAATATTAATTAATTACTTTATGATCAACTGAGAGGTAATAAGAGCATGAAGGTATTTAGTGTGGAAACATGACTTCACCTTGGCAATAAGTTTTAATTGGGATACTGTTTGTCCAAATTATAGGCACTATTGAAAATAACTCCCAGATTCCTGACAGCAGAGCAGCTGTGTATGCTCACAGCATGTGTACATACGTGTGTCACTCTAAGCTTTTATGTAATGTGTGAGTAGATCTGGTGCTGACATGCTTCTAAACTCTGATTAATGTTGCACTAAAGCTCACTGACATCCCCGATAAATTGTTGGGCAACTTAAATGGTGTCATTGCACGGCTGGACGTCTTTGTGCCTTATTTCCTTTTCATGCCTTTTTTTCCGTTACATTTTTACTTCAAATCTTTCCAGCTCCAGAGATGCATCTTCCTGTTCTCACATAACAACCTGCAGCTCGCCTGTTTGTTGTTGTAGTTCTTTAGCATTAAATGAGGCAGCTGGAACAACCTGTTACATCATCAAATCAGATCAGAGTAAAAAAAAAAGCAACTAAAACAGGTAAGATAATAAATGTTCATAACATTTCCTATAAAAATAATAATGTTCACTCTGTTAGGGTAAATTCATTCTCTGGAGAGGGGGCTGATGTGGGTGCTTCACGCTTCTCACTCAAATTTTATGGTCCAGTCTGGGTCTCCAGATCACAGGCTCTCCTTCTCTAACCTTTGTGCCACCACTCCCCCCACAAACTAGTTATAGTTTACCAAAATAATCCAAACTATTGCTTTAATGTCACTCAAGTAATGCTTGAAGTAATGCTTGGTTTCTATTTACATAAAAAGTTCAGAGACATTACTAATACATCTATGTTTTTCAGAAATAAACTGACATAACTTTATTCCTCATTTTAGTTTTATGGTCAGGGCTCCAGCTTTGCGGAACACTCTTCCGCTAAATATTAGACAGACTAGATCTTCACTTAAGATTTATTTTTATAATAAAGCTTTTAATATTTGAACTTCGTTTAAGTATTTTTTAAATATTTTCATAATTTTGATCTTATTTTTTATTGATTTAGTATAATTTTGTGTTTTATCTTGTCTTTTATGATGTTTAAATAGTTTTTAATGTAAAGCACTTTATAACATTTGTTTTAAAATGTGCTATACAAATAAAGTTATTGTTGTTATTTAATAATTCTCCATAAACAAACTAATCACCATTTCTTTTAACGTGTAGAAACCTTTACACTTAACCTGCATGAAAAACAACCACCGCTGTGAAAGAAATGTTGTAATTGTGCTGATCTGCAGGTGCGTTGTGAGGAGTGGTGCAAATTTACTGCCCCCAGTAAAAGCATGGAGTCGACCCAACAACAAAAACAGCTGCAGCGCTGCTATTCCAGGGCCGAGGACACTTAAAACCATCAGGTTCACGTTTCAAATTCTTATAATAGGCTGGTCTGCATGCTGGACACACACAGGCAGAGGGTTCAGGCTACAAGTTTCTAATTGGTGTCAGACACTCGAGATTCTTCACCTCCACCCCCCCACCCCCCCTCAACTGTGAAAAGGATGGTCGTAACCTATTTACCAGAGATAGAGCCCACAGTATAGCTCGCTTTAAAAAGAGATGTTCTCAAAAAAAAAAGCAAAAACTCAACTTTTAATGTAAAAAACAGGAAGGGAAGTTTTGGAATGAGCACAATAGCTACAGAAATCTTCAGAAGTCTGGTCTGTTTTTCTTTTTTCTTTTTTACACGTTTATACGAGCACTTCACACTGGGAGATTTCCTGCTGAAGATGCATTTTCACAGCTTTAGATGAGAGTGACGAGGAGTGCGGCGCGTCTGCCTAGAGACACCAGGAGGCCCGTCATGTTGCAAGCAAGACTCTTATCATAATCCCATGTTTCCTTCAGACAAGTTAAAAACCTCCTGGTGAGTGTTTTTGTGGTTCAGGTAATTACCACGTGAACAACTGTGTCCACAGACGTTAGCAGGGAGGACAAAAACAAAGAACAACAGAAAACAGGTCAGCGGAAAAAAACTGAGAGGCGCTCCTACTAGCATTGTTGCTCACACTGAGTGCAGATTCGCTGCTACGTTCTCACACTGGATATCTGACGAGGGAGATGTGTGACAAAAAAATCTGAATCTGGTAATGTGTGTATTGGCACGTGCCACCCGCCCAAACCGTCTCCAGAACATTTCAGAACCGCAGAGCATGTGTGGAAAAGGCCGCAGTGACAGAACTCTGCTTTTGTCTTCTGATGATCACTGACTGATTCATAAGCTCCCGAGATAAAATGTACCTGTAACTGTAAAAGAACCCACGCTGTAATCTACGTGCACCTCATTAACTGACCTGCCGAGGCCCTCTGAGCCGCTGACGTCGACGTCACGCGAGGCGGAGGTGGACTGTGAAGCGTCTTGTCGAGGTGTCGTGTCCATCACCTCTGGGCTCGGACTCCCAAGCTCTGAGGTCAGGGGCAACACGATCGGTATGGAGAAAGACCCAGGACGGGGCATTTCAGCAGACGGGCTGGGCTGACGGACCTCTTGAATCAGGCTGTCATTTCTTCTTTTCCTAACCTGTTTGACCAGCACAGACACAAGAACACACGGATCACTTGTTTGCACTCTGGGATAGTTTACTGGACTGCAAGCATAAAAATAATAAATAAATAAATAAATTAATTAATTAATAAAACATGAGCGACGAAAATTGTTAACCCCAATTCCAAGAACGTTATCATTGGGTAACAAAACTTTAAGCATTTTCATAAATCATTGTCTGTAAATACAGTCCCACAAAAGCAGGTCAAAGCTCTATCGTGCAGGTGAGCACCCTTCAGAAACGCCACCATCTTCTCTGAGCCAAAGCTCATTTAAAATAAACTGAGAAAAATCGGAAAAACAGTTCTGTGTTCAGACAAAGTGAATTTTGAAATTCTTTTTGGAATCCCCATCCAGTGTGTTATCAGTGCACAATTAAATAACCTGCCTCTCTGTTGGTGTAGGGGTGCACTATTGCCTATAGCATGAGCAGCTTACACTTTTGCTAGGACACCAGCAAAGCCAAAAAGTATCTACAGGTCTTTCTAAGGAAAGGTTTTGCATATTTCAGCAAGACAACACTAAACAACAAACTGTATCCATTACAACAGCAGGGCTTTGTTGTTGAAGAGTCTGGGTGCTGAACTGACCTGCCTGCATTTCAGACCTCACACCAGTTCAGAACATTTGGAGCAGCATGCGTTCATCTATTTATCCCCCCCTCTTTTTTTTTCAAATTGTTGCTTTTAAAATCTGGACATTCAGACTTACCGTACTGACCCTGAGTGGGTACAAACTGCGTGAATCTCCGACTCTGGTGTAGGAAAAGAATCGCAGTCTAATTACAGCAACGTTCTGAAAGGAACCCTTCTGCATTTTCCACCCTCGGTCACAACCAAAGAAACCTAAATTACGCTTTTGAAGATCCAATCAAAGAGGTTTCTCCTGCTTTAAGACTGATGCTGATGTACGCTGGAGCCGAGCTAGCGTCGGTCTGTGCTAAGCAGAGGATGAAATGGGTTTGACACCAGCAGCTTAACTATCGATAATGGCCCTAATCATCAACACTAAAAGGTTTTCTCTGTAGATAAACCTGAATTAAAAGGCTTACTTTTTCTTGCCTTCACACCAATTATCAGAGGAACATTTCCATTTGGATTTTAACCTAATGGTTCGTTCAAAAATCCATGACTGAAACCTCCATTTAGATATGTAGTCACCTAATGGGTGACTCTTTCAGAACATAATTAGTAGCACAAACTTCTTTAGCTAGAACTCATATGGATTTTTCCCATTGGAGCTTTGGGATTGATTTGGCAACATTCGCCATTAAGAGAAAACCACAGAGAGGAGGGGAAAAAAAAGGAACGTCATTGTGTTTGCAGCTGGGAGGGGTTGGAGACTGTGTCGTTGTTCTTAGAAAAGAGGACGTCATGGAGAAAAAGAGAAAATGATAATAAAGACTGTCAGGGTAATGGATTGCTGTGTTTCTGGTTGGTTTACTGCAAGTTAACTCCTTGTGGAAACAAAAATAGGAAAAGATCAAATTCGTACAGCCAACATACAACATTTTTGTGTTTATTAAAAAAACAGTATCTGCGAATATAGCTGTTTCTTTTTTGGCTTTATTTTAATCAATAGAATTACTTTTATGGTTCTTGACATATTTAGACAGACACAGGCAAAAACATTATTGCTACCTTGCCTTTGTCAGCAGGTAAATGATGTTTTAGCACAAGGTTACTTGTTTGGAATAAAAAAAATAATGCTCCTATTGACAATATAATTACATTGAAATAATCAGTTTTATTTAAGCTGAAATCAAATTATTTATCTCTTTAAAGATAAATTTAGAAGATAATTAGCACCGACTGCATTTAGTATCTTGAAAGATAAGATTGTCTTGAAACTGTCAATTAAAAAAACAATCATTAACTAGTTTGCAGTGACAGAACAGTCTTCTAAGCTTCATTCATGTTTTCTTTTTGCAGTTCAGTCGGAGCAACAACAAGCAGGAGATAAAAAGAGCAGATGGTGACGAAATCAGACACCTAAAACTGAAATATCACCTAGTTTTAAATTTTAAAACACGTCAATAGAAGATTTGTCAGTAAAACCTCCAAACAGAAATAAAATATTCTGGAAATGATATTTTGATTTGGGGTGTTTAGACTCCAATAGGCTTAGCTGAAACAGGATCTGAGCTGAGCTTTAACCTCTGTAGTATGAAGTCACTAACCTTTTTTCTCATTTCTCAGATTTCTCTGCCATCTGATCGTAACACGTTCTCATTTTTCACAACAACATGCATCTGAACAGCCGCTGGATTACCAGCACCACGACCACAAACATGGCAAAAACTTGACATTTGACCCCTTAAAAACAGAAAAAGGCAGCGAGAATTTCTATTTTATTATTTTTTTGTTTTTAAGGTTGCTGTAGAAACTGAAGGGGTCGACACGATGACTCACAGTGCGGGACTCAGGCACAGCTGCCAACAATAACTGGGTTTTCAAAGCTTTGATGTGGACATAAAAATTTGAAGGTTGAACAAAAAACTCTTTCATCAAGCAGGCTAGAGGTTTATTTCCAGGTGCATAAAAAACAGGCATGTTTCTGCCTCTGATATTTTATTTGATGTCATTGCTTCTGTGTTTTCTACACTGCCAGCTTCAACCAGTTTTATTGCCTGTTAGCAAAACATTTTCTGTTAGCAAAACATGGATATTTACCCCACATTTGGTGTGGTAGTAGCTCTAACTAATCATCTTCAGATATTTTGAGCAAATTGCACAGATCTTTGTTTAAAGTTGTACCACTAACTATTTCGAGTCAACTCTCTCTCTCTGTTAGCAAAATATCACCTGGTCCACAAGATGCGTTGTGATGAGACTTTCAAAGAATAATCATTGGGTGTCCATCTACAACTGATTAACTTTTGGACAACGCAATCAATCAATCTATCTATCTATCTATCTATCTATCTATCTATCTATCTATCTATCTATCTATCTATCTATCTATCTATCTATCTATCTATC